TACACTAGAAAAGGATTACTATTATTAGGATTACCGCGTTATGAGCTTATGGGGAACACATTCCTAGTTACTTTTAATAATCTGAATATAAATAAATACTTAGTTCAAAGCTATCTTTTTATTGTTTTTATTTTATTTTATTTTATTTTATTTCAATTTAAATCCCCCATTTTTATAACGACTATCGAGTTCAATATTTACTATTGACAATATTCTTCCATATTCTCTGTGGGATCGACCTCGACTCATAGTTGGGTAAATATATTGCATACGATCGTTTATATTTCTTTTCAAGAGGTATATTTGAACGTTATCACGAATATGGGTTAAGATAATTGTTGGGTCTTGCTTGCTGATAGTTTAATCGTAGTTTGATTGTGATTTCGTTTAGTAGTTCTGGATGAATTTAATGAATTTGTAGTTGCAAATACAAGTTTATTTATGTGCTTTTCGGCTTGCTCGAGAGAGAGAGATCGTAAAACTAAAACTACTAAATTGATGGTCGGTGCAAGTGGGTTGACATGAGGTTCAGCTCGAGAGAGTGAACCCTAGTCCCATGTCCACACACTCAGCTCAAGAGAGTGAGTGGGTTAAGGTGTAGGCTGGTCTTCATGCGGCAAGTAGGTGTCCGAGAGGAACGCATTTGAAACGGGGTAAGTTGCTCTAGAGAGAGTCTATCCCCCTTAAAGTTTAGCCTATTCACAATTATTCTATGAATCTTCTATCGAAAGCATGTACCCAATAATCTAGCTTAACCCGTATTCCTGTCACATCCCAAGGATCCCCTCTCATTACTAGAAACCCTTGTTTATTTTGCTGTTTTTACTTACTAGTGACAAAACCCCCATTGTTAATTGACACTCTTGTGTCCCCCTTTAATTTACAATGTTTTTAATCGTTAATGTTTTTAGCTACGAATAGTTAGAACTAAGTTTATTCTCAAAACCACTCTCTTGGGAACGATCCCAACCCTTGGTTGGGTTACTAAACTATTGTACGATCGTAGACACTTGCATTGGAAGTTGTGTCTTGATTACGCAAAAATCAAAATGGCGCCGCTGCCGGGGAGTGGTGTTATTTGATAATTCTCAGATAAGTAGGAGTTTTGTTCTTCTTAGTTGTAGTTTTACTTACTTAATTTTTAGTTTTGTTTTGCTTGTTTGTGTATTGAAACAAAAAAGATGAGCATGAATGGTAACTATGGGTACCAAATGGACCAAGGTTATCTTCTCTCTACCCAGAGCCAAAAGAGGGGTGGCCTCATGAAAATGAGGCAAACCTCACTAATGAAACTTGAGTGAGGAGTTGCGTCGTGCCACGACGTTAAATAAGGCGCTTCTTGGGAGGCAACCCAAGATTTCACCGCTTTATTTTTGCTTTAAGAAATAATGGTATGTTGTTTGCGTAGGTCAAAGTATGGAAAGTGAGTGAAAAGTGTAAATGGGCAAGCCAAAGGTCCAGTCGGCGTATCGCCGAAGAAGTCAGCGACCTCGACTTAGACCGCCATTAGACTAAAGACAACTTCAAAGTGGAGTCTGTAAAACTCGGTGTGCCCAAGAAATTATTGGCAAATCGCCGACCTGGTTGGTGATTGTGATCTAGTCCGCCGTTTGGACCCCTAGTTTAACTGGAGGTCCAGTAAAACTTGGCGAGGTAAGTATCCACTCGGCGAGTCACCGAATGGATCGGTGACCACTAATGAGTCCACAAATTGGACTCATTTAGGGCTTTATTTTGATAGAAATAGTATCCTCGAATGCTTATTTTGTCGCAATATATGATGAAAACTCTTAAGTTTCAGGTATTTGAAGTTTTAGGGGAAGCATGGACACTTAGGCGCAAAAAGGAACAAAAAGGCTGGAAAGAACGAAGAAGCTACAGCCTGAGCATTGCCAAGCATCTTTGGCGATTCGCCGAAAGGATAGACTCCGCCCTTTGTTCCGGTATGCAAAGCCCTGAAGGAAGAGGATCAAAAAGGCGATGAAAGGAGCAGTCATCAATCTTAAAGGTTCACATCTAACCCCTCAATTTGCCCTTCAAGGCTAAGAACCAAGATTCAACCCTAACTTCTAGAAATACCAAGTTAGATAGGGTAATTTCATGATTCAACAACTTAATAATATAAACACCATCAATTGACAAGCTTACATGATCAATCAAGTCATACCCTAGTTCACAATTTAGGAGGAAGGGGAAATCATGGGTCCAAGGGGAGATTTTCATCAAAATCCATCAATACTCCATTAATCCAATCATAAATCATCATAATCAATCATAATAAACTTTAATTAAACAATTAAATTCATTTTGAAAGAAGACCCATGACTAGATTTGAAAAACCCTAGAATTGGGAAATTTGGAAACATAGTTGAAGGGGCTTCTTGGTGATAGCTAACCAAGAATGAAAAGCATCCATACCTTAGACTTAGAATCCCATCAAATTCATATGAAAAATCCCTCTTCTTGAAGCTCTAGCTTAATCTCTTCCTTTGTTCTTCAATGGAGTCTAGAGAGAAGATTTTGGGAGGGAAAGTATTTGGGTTTTGATTTGGGGTCTTGGGTTATAATGACTTAATGACTTAGTTTAGGGTCTTATTAGACTTAAATTGGTGGTAAATTAACTAATTAACTGACCTACCTTAACCCCTAATTAAATAACTAATCAATTCCTAAACCCCTAACTTAAAACTAAAACTCAAAAACTATCACCACCTACGGACCACCCATCCACGGATCGTGGATGGGTTCACGGGGCATCAAAGGGGATTCGTGGATAGGTACTGAGGCTAAATGTTGCAGGCCTTAACAAGCCTTGACCCACGACCCCAACCCATGGGGCGTGGATCCAACCACGGCCAGTAGATGACAATCATGGGTTGCTGCAAATTGGTAGTTTTAGGGGCTGCTTTGGGGTTCCCCTCAAGGACCCCTTGGGTAGTCCTTGGGGGATCGTACCCGGACGTTTAACCCCTATAACCCTTATTCTAAGTACGGAAACCATTTCTTGTGATTTTAACCCTCATACATCACTCCAAAACTCTTACGAAAGGCTCTAGAACGCACTAGTTCAACTTACAAATATCCGGGTTGTTACAGATGGATACACCCCTTCTCACCTCCTATCCATCACTCTCTCACATACTTTCATAGTGTGTCTAGCAACTTGATACCCCTATAATTGTTACAATTTTGAATAATACCCTCGTCTTGTACAATAGAACCATTATACTCCACGTCATTGTTTGGGTCTTTTTCATCTCAAAATGACATTAAGCAAATCAGTTAGTTAGACACTTCATACCTACCATGTTTGTGATCTTCCAAAACTCCAATGAAGCCTCATATAGTCGGTTTGATCTTCCCTTCTCATCCTACTAATAGAAAGCTTAACTTCGCCAACTGTAATACACCTACAATACCCAAATTTTTTATGTCTCACAAAGTGCTCCAAATCATCCAGCATGACATCTCTATCTCATTCTTCAGTCAATAGTTTGTGGAAGTAAGGTTACCATCTTCGTTTAATGAAGGTTTTTTCCACCAACATCTTGTCTTCTTCATCTTTGATACACGTTACTTGATTCAAGTTTCGAACCTTTCCCTCTTTCACCTTCGTGAGCCGCAATTTCTTATCTCCGCCTTAGTCCCCTAGTTCTCCACACACTCATTGAAAAGTTGTTGTCTTTGATGTTGTACCTGCACATTGCCTCCATCATTACCACTGGGGGTGTTCATGGTTCAGTATGGATCGATTATTGGTTAAAACCAAAACCAAACCAGTCTAGTCGGTTTTTTTAATTTCTAAAACCAAACCAAACCAAACGAGAAACATAACTGTCGGTTTGGTTCAGTTTTTCTGGTTTTTTTTGGTTTGAAAGTAATAAAAAAAATTAAGGACATATGTATCTCGATAGACACAAACAACTAGAACATGAACAATCCACATAAAAGCTATTGTCGGTTCAATTAAGCAATTAAGAAATACTAGAGTTATTATTACACAAACAAAGTGTTTCAATTAAGAGAAAATGTAACTATCTTATGTGAGGCATGGTACGTAATGACTAAAATAAAGGATTTTATTGGACTTGGACTTAAGAAAGTAATAATAGTTGAACTAAAATTTAAGTGTTGGGCTTGAGAAAATGGTAAAGTTAAAGTCTTAAGTTAATTAAAACTTAACAAAAAATTTATATTTTATTTATGAATAATATATAAATAATTATAAAATTAATATATCTAATTTGTCGGTTCGATTTGGTTATTTTTGTGGTTGTTTTTTAGTAAAACCATAACCAAACCAAATAGCACCGGTTTCCAAAATTTAAAACCAAACCTAACCAAATCAAATATCAAATTTTTTTAATCGGTTTGGTTCGAATTACGGTTCGTTTTGGTTTTTAACCATAACCATGAACAACCCTAATTACCACTAATAAATTATATCATGTAACTACAAAAAAATGGTGTAATCTAACACAATTTTTTTCATGAAAAATCAGAACTATCTTCTCCTATATATTTTGTTGACTACACACTAATCTCAAGTTTGCAATTAAAAATAATAATTGGTATTTAAGTTCATACATGAAAATAAAAATTAGCTAAAAAGAAAAACATAAAAATAACATAATTAGTATCAATCTTGCATATCTGAATTTTATTATTAGATTGAATTTTAAGCCCCTCAGAAAAGAAAACCTAAAATGTATAATCTCCCATTAAAAATAAAAGATACATGTACAATTTTTTAACGAGAATGGCACATCCAATTTACATGAATACAATTTATTTTACTAAAGACCTATTCGAAATGGGTCAAATTAATTTTATACAATGGGTTAATATTAAGTATTGGATCTAACAACGAATCTGGAAAAGATACATGTACAAACTTCCATTAAAAAATCAACTTTTCCATTACCTTCTGCACCTTGTTGGAAATATATTCATATTTGATGAGCATATAAAAAAAAAATTGAAGCTACTTTAATAAGATATTACTACAAGTTCAGTTACCATTTAAGGAATTGACTCCAACACATTGCCAATAAGTTTATTAAAAGAAAAAAGAAAGGAAGTCTAGTAATTTAAAAGGTCTACTACACAAACCATATTTTTGGTAATAAAGAATTAACGAGGCTCTGCCCTTTGAACAACTCAGAAAACATAGGTAGATATAAAACTAGAGAATGCAGTCACATCCACCCAATCTGGAAAAAGGGCTTTCAATTTAGCAGCAGACTCTGTCAGATACTGGTCCACTACAGCCACATCAATCTTAATGGCCTCAGAACTGTTTGTCTGCATGATAAGGAAAGCAACAAACACATGATAAAATCAATGTAAAGTCCATAAATTTTTAAAAATAAATTAGGATTAAATTTTATGAGTGTACGGGCGTGTTTAAAGAATCCTCGATTCATTGAGGAAGCCACATGAGGTAATTGAAGTGTTTGGTATATGTTGGAAAAGGGTTATTGTGTCAAAATATCTAAAAGATGTCAAATAGAAGTCAGAGAGGGAGAGGGGTCATCCTCCAGGTCTGCCCCATAATGCACTCCTGCCACAAGGGTGGCTGATATAGGCAAGTGCAGCCTGAAAGTAACAAACCTCCGTTTTGAGCAATAGTACTTTAGTTCATGCTTTAATATTCTAGATAGCTTGGTTTTACCTGTTTGGACTTAGTGGGATAGTTTGGGTTAAGACCCCAATGGCTCACGGATGTTTTGGAAATCGATCTTAATTTAGAAGGCTTAAATGAAAAATAAAAAACCTAACCCCTCTTTTTGAGTTTGTGTGCTGTTGTGTTATTTGGAGCTTCGGTTAGGTATATCATGTTTTTGGACTGGTTGGCATACGAGAATTTGGGACTCAAGGAGTTTGGATGAAGAATGTAGTTGTTGCAGAACAACTGATATTGATGTCAACTGGTGCATCACATTTGCGGCCAAAGGCTCGCCTATGCATAGTGAGGCTCTAGGCTAGACCTCTGCAAAAGCAAGTTAGGGATTACAATTGTGACAGTTAATCAATGGTTGATTGTATGCATTTGCGAGCGCCAAGGTAGCAATTGCAAAAGGGTCCATCCAGTGGGTCTTCGCTTTCGCGATGGGAAGTCCGCAGTTGCGGCATCACAATTGTGAAGACGGTTTCACAATTGCAATGGTTTAGCTGATATAAAAGATCTGAAAATCGGGGAAAACTATTTTTGGCAAGTTGGCGGAGAAGATCCCGCAATTTTTTGAATTTGTTTTGATGGACGATTGGTCCTAAATTTGGGTAATGTTTCTTACTACTTTAGAAACCCCAAACCCCCATCCTCCTTGCCGACACAAACTTTATGTCAAGACATCCACCCTATCCCTCGATTTTTCCTCTTTCCCAGTTTCCACAAAATTCCATTCATGGCTCTTTCAACAGGTTCTCATATATTACTGCGAATCAAGAACATATTCATCACATAAGTTGGAATTGATTCAATCACTGTTTTGAGCAATACTTCTCGTCCTGCTCGTAAGAGACTAGTGCACTTCTAACTTTTTATCTTTGAGATTACTCTATCCTGAATATAAGCAAAGACTTTTTTTGCTTCTTCCCACCAATGTCGGCAAGCCAAGATACTTTCTAGGAGCATTCACCTCCTTAACATGGAAGATATCCGCAATCTCTTTCTTCACACTTTCATTAGTATTACGGCTAAAAAATATAAAAACTTTGAAAATTTACCTGTAGGCGAGAGGCTGCCTGATGTATCTCCAAACATAACTTAATAGTTTTTGCCTCCTCCTTTGCAATTTTGAGCTAGATAGTGGATTGATGTTCACTGTAGCACTATCTGACCTTGAAGGTTAAGTTAGTGTACCATGAGCTCCACTTTAAAGAAATATAAAGCATCATCCGCAAAAAATAGGTGTGAAATAGATGGTGCTTTAGTACAAATTTTAACATCATGATTTCGGCCCTAAATAGACATTCGCTTCAACAACACTGACAAACCCTCCACAGCTATCAAAAATAGATATAGTGATATAGGATCACCTTGCGTCAAGCCTCTTCTTGGAGAAATATTTTCCTAACTGCTTGCCACCATGACTAAATTGATAAGTAACTGCGGTTACCATATGCATAACCTTATTCACCCATTCCCAACAAAATCCAATCTTTATCATCATTGCTCGTAGAAAACCCCATTCAACGCGATCATAAGCTTTCCTCGTACCCGTCTTAATTGCCGCATAACCCACTTTGACTTGTGTTTTCCTCTTTAGATAATGCATTGCATTATCTGTAATGTATCTTCCTGGAATGAAAACACTTTGGGCCTCAGAGATTATTAGATTCATAAATCGTTTCATTCTGTTCGCAAGGACTTTACAAGTGATTCTATCAACAACATTGCAAAGGGAGATAGGCCGTAAATCTGAAACAAATTCAGGTTGTTTCTTTTTTGGGATTAACACAATATTAGTATTGTTACTTCCTGGCCCAGGTGGATTATTATTATTCAAGCATTCCATAATGGCCTAAGAAACATCATCTTCAACAGTACTCCAAAAATGTCGAAAAGAAGCATGGATTTAATCCATTCGGTCTGGGAGCTTTATACAGGTGCATGCTAAAAACAACCAGTTTGATCTTTTCAACTGCAAAAGGACGCTCCAAGTCCTCATTAATTTCTTCAAAAACTCTCTTCTCAACAATGTCAGTAATGACATTAAATGGACCATGTTATGTCTTGAACAAATTGGTGTAATAATTCACAATAAGATCGCTCAATCCAATCCCCCAATCAAACCAACATCCATACTCATCTTTTGATTGTGAAATTGTATTATTTTTCCATCGTGAGGTAGCCATTAGATGAAAATAACGGGTATTTCTATCACCTCTCTGCAGCCAAAATTGTTTTGCTCTCTATTTCCAATAATTTTCTTGTTGCCTCAACAAGATTTCATAAGCATCTTTGTCACTATTATAAAGAGCAATGTGACTCAGCTCTCTACTACCTCTAAGTCTCTTCATCTGTGTCTTGCAATGCTTCATCTTAAATTGGACTGTTTCTTTATGTTGCGACCCCATGTCTGTAAAAAGCGCTCACAATGTTCAATAGATGTTCTTCCACTGCCTCCTTAACATCAGTTTCTCGAAGACATGAATTTTCAAAGCAAAACTTCACTGGTGAATATCGCATGATGTTTATTCCTAAGGAGATAAAAAGAGTCATATGGTCACTACAAGCAGTTTCCATATGATACATTGTAGCTCTATTGAATAGTATGCGCCAACAAGCCGTTGCAAGGGCTCTATCCTGAAACCGATCCATTTGTACCTCTTCCCCTTTCGCAAGTAAATTTATTTCCAGTGTATCCCAAGTCATGTAATTCATAGAAATTCACTTGTCGAAACCCATCAAGTCTCCAAGCTGGTTGTTGAATTCTCCCCATCTTATCTCCATAGCTCAGAATATCATTGAAATCCCCTGCGATACACCATGATAGTGGGGATTTATTCTTCAAAGACTTTAGAATCTCCCAAGATTGCCTCCTACGATTTGTCTCGGGGCAACCATGGAAACCAGTCTATCAAAAGTTAGGAATCCTTGCAATTCACACCTCCACATAGATTAAATATTTTTGAGAATTGATTACTGAGCACGTGCCCTTCTCTCTCCATAAAAGGGCTAAGCCACCACTCTGTCCTTTTGGATCAACAACACTCAAGCCTTCAAAGCCTAAATTATCACAAAGTTGTTGTAATTTAGTGTTGTTAAAAAGTCTCCTATAAGAAATTTAAATTGGGCTTCTTTTGTTGGACCAAGTCTTTTAGTTCGGAAACCGTACATGGGTTCCCAAACCCACGTCAATTCCAGATTAAAGAGCTCATTGGATTAGGCAGGCCTGAAGACTAGAACCCGCCATGAATAAGCTTTTTGACCCATCAGAAGGAATTAATTTGCTTTGTTGCCTCACGTTTCCTTCTTTTCTCTAACAGCGTCAACCCCTCCTCATCAAGCTCCTCTGCCTCCATATCTTTTCCATATTCATCTCCATCCTTTATAATTATCCCAAGATTCTCGTAATCCTTTCCATTATTAGCAACACTCTCATTCCCACAATGCACGCCATTTTCTCCCCTCTTTTGCATATACTTTCCTTTTCCCTCCCTCACATCCCCATTATTTCTTCCTCATTCCCTGATTTGTTTTCCTTTCTCATACCCAATCCATCCGAAGAATCCGACTGATAATCCTCTCTTTCCTTATCGTGCCACGTGCCTCCCACTGATCTACTTTCCGACCTAATCCAACGCATGCCAGTCATGGTTCCTTGTCGCACTCATCACATTTCGCCCATAAAGAAACTATACTTAATCAATTTCCAAATGATGATTTAGTTTGCGGCAAAAACTTGTCTATATGACCAATCAACCACAAAAGAAACAAAAAGTTCCCACTCTGTCATACTTGAATGAGATCTGCACACATCCACCACCTGGCTGCCTAATTTTAATTGATCGGTTAAGTGATTTTTGAATGTTAATGCTCACTAGTATCCTTATGTAGTCTTTCCAAAGCATATCCTGATTATTTGTATCATTGTATTTGAAACTACCAATCGTATTACCAATGTCTCCAAGAACTCTTTTAGATCTTAGACCTCCCACCAAGTCATGGATTTGAACCCATATATCAAATGATGTGAGTTCTACTTGTTGTGGTTCTGATCAGGATTAAGAGGGCGTAGTAGGACAGGGTTCTGCATGAAGTTCCACGGGCCATCTTCAGTTATTCAATCATGTTCACATTTTTTTAAAATTGGAAAACAAAGGCATTGTTTCCAAGTTCTCTCACCGTCAAACCTTCCCTTGGTCTCCATGCCTTCCCCATTGCATCACTCAAGGAATTACGATTTACAAACTTGCCTGTAACAACACGGCCTACCACACACCATGGGGGATTAGCAATTTTCTCTCCGGGATCAAAAGCATCCTCATCACCATGGTAGTCTAATTCAACGTCTGAATCATCAAAATTCAGGTCCGACATCTTCTCTACTGGTATACTGCAATTATTCGAATGAGATGACGAAGCCATACCAAAAGCAACAGAGAAACAAGAGTAGGCGAAACAAAGCAAGTAAAAGAGTTAAACAAGAGAAGAAGAGGACAAAGGCTTATCACTTGAACAAGAGAAACAGAGGCTCTCCTCGAGAGAGAGTTGAGCTCGTAGGTTTAAGTTATTAAGAGCTTTAATTGTCAATTAATTTCATCCTTGTGTCTATCTTTTATCCTTTAGTTCTGGTTCTTAGTTTAGGATTTCATTTCCATATCCATATTGAGTAATCATTTAGTTGATAGGTGGGTGATAGATGAGTATGTATCAGAATTTATTGTTGGCTTGGACAAAGCACTAGTAGTGTCAACCTATATAATTCCAGTGACAAAAGAACATCAATTTAGCATCAGAAACTCTCGATGCCTACCACCTATCACATGGAATTATCAATAGAAATATGATGAACCTTGAGTTTATTTTAAATTCTTTAAAATAGCTTTGAGGCAATGTTGAATTCTTTGCAAGTCCTGATCAATTGCTCGTCTAGGTCTGGGCAAGTTATCAAAACTTTCCCACCAAAGTGCCATCAACAGTCGACTAAATTTTTTCATTAACATTTAGTTTACACGGGTAGATTAAACAGACAAGCATACATATTCTGCAAAAGTTCATCAAATTGATTGAAATAGAGCATCTGGCTTGAAGTCATACCTCCAACCAAAAGGTCCAGTTTTTATCGCCTGCACCACTTAATCTACATATATATGATGGCGGACCATTACCAGTCTTCTCAGGAACTGTATAACAAGTCTGGGAATATTAACAATGCTGCAGTAGGAAAAGGCCCATACTCAAAGCTATGAAAACATAGACTACCTGGAAGAATGTTATCTGCAAATGACCAGCTGGATAGCGAACCAGTAATATTGAGGACTGCAACCCACACTTCCTTCAAGGAACTGAAAGCAGACAAGAGAGAAATATGAAGCAGCTTTGATTTAAAGGGACAGAGAAGTTACCTATAACTCAATAGTATAGGAAACCTTATCATATCTGAATTACAAAAAAATAATTTGAACTTCATCATGTTTATAGTCCGATCCATTTCTGGCATTAATTTCAAGCAGTGAAGATTGAAATTGTCTGTTCACAATATTTCCAGAATCAAAACAAGTTAAAATCATTTTTTGTGGTTCTACAATGCTATCTATTAAACCTTCAAATGCAGACAAAATGGTGAGAATCATATCCAGCAATAAATAACAGCATTGTCTTGGCATGAACTCCCCATTTCAGAGGGAATTTTCTATAATCAGATTACTAAAATCCGATACAGCTTGCAAATAATCTACATCAGAACATGATTTGATCATTCGGGGCACCATAATATCACATAAGTGTCATTACAGATAATGGTAACCTGTATTCATTAACTTAAACAGGTTAAACAAGTGTCTGGGTCCTCAGAGGTTAGAGCCATGTTCGCCTTTGATACATTATAAATATATTCAATTCATAACTAAGGACCATGGACCCATGAACTCATTCTCAAGAGTTTTTTTAATCTTTTTAATTTTGAAAGTGGTATTCTTGAGATCAACTTATGAAAATGCCACGATCAAATAAGGTTAACTTAAAAATTCATCTTTTACGTAGTTCTGCTCTATTTTTTGTGTCAATTCCATGCAACAAAGATAGAAAAATTTGTGTGTACAACAATATTTGCAGAGTCCAAAATAAGGTAAAATTTCAGTTCTATGACTCCACAGTGTTAATACTCTATTAAACTTTAATATTTATCAAAATGATGGGCAACAACCATATCTAGCAACAAGTAGCAAACATCATCATGCCATGAACTGCATATTTCAGAGGATCTTTCTTAAATCTGACTACTAAAAAGTTTTGATACTTCCAGCACATCATTTATATCTACACCAGAACATTCAGGGCACCACGAGATAACATAAAGTGACATCACATAAAAAGTTGGTAACCTCTAAGAAAATGGATCTCCACTTATTTAAACATATTGTATGAAGTAAAGACAATTATTGTACTTATCCAAATTACCCGAGGGAGAACTCCAAGTAGATCCTACGGGAACCCCCACTCAAACTCTCTTGTGGCTTATTAGTCGTTAGATGTGGGAAATGATTGTATTCAGCCGAGACATCTGATCCTTTTGCAGGAAACTTCATGCATCTTGAAAACAGCGAAGATATTGGAAAGATCCCCTACAAAAAGGAGAAGATTATGTCACATTCCATGACAATCTCATGAAGCAAAAATTATTATTTGAATTTCCAGTCAGACAAAAATTACTAATATATCATAGTGCCACTATCAATACAACAGCAAATCTTTAGGAAAAGTTGCACGATACTCTGTTGTAACCTAGTTTACTCCTCCATCAGATCCAAGAGCATCTTCCATAAAAAAGGACACATCATATGATAATAGCTCTTGAGTCTTGAGTAAACAAGATCTTAAAACCACCAGGTAGAGGATTCAGGATGAGAGCAGTTCTGCCTTCTCCAACTCTCTTTTTTTAAATACTGAAATAAGGAAGCGCTGCAAAAACTGTACAACAGAAATAATGCCGCCTAAGCATGTTACTACTAAAGGGAAGCAAGGACTCGATACAAGCTGTAAAATATATAGGACCACATCTAACCACTTCAAGATCTTTGTAAAAGACGACAGGCATATGTTCTGTTCCTTCTTTATAAAAAAGCACACAAATATCATATGAAAATATGATAGGCTAGTCATGGTGAAAGCTTCGAAGTAACTACCATCCACTCCTCTTGATGAGACTGCTTGACAGCATCAAAGGATAATTCTGTATTAATGTGCAGTGTGTTGGCCACTTCAGAGGCATGCTTGAAAACGAAAGGCAGAGTGTTGGAGTCAACAACGGCAAAATCATAGGTAGTTTCCATAATTTTACTGGCACCTGTAAAGTCAGCATTAACGTATTAATAAGAAACAACAGAATTTATCTGGAAGGGCATGCAAGCCACAGATAAACTCCAAAAACTAAGTTGCATACTTGTACTATTGGATTCTATCCTTGCACTATGTTTGGTTGGAATTAATAGAGGAAAGGAAGTAAAAGAGGGGGTTACACCTTCCAAGCAGCTTTTTAAGCCCTCCGAAATATGAAAAAATCTAAAAGCAGAAACTGTATCTTATTCTGTTCCAATCAAATCAGACAACTGTGATAGATGATCACTATTATACCCGAGAGACATAAACCAATGAGCTGCTTCCCCTTCATTGAACCAAAGATGAAGTCATATAAATTAAGTACGACATGATATGATAAGGCATATCTTGACATCTTCTGCCCGTTTAGTTCAATAACTCCAGAAAGGAGAGAGCTATACGTCAAAAGGGGATCCATAGCATCTAAGAAACAACCAAAAACTGAAAGATACACTTGAATTGAATTGTAAGCAATAATTTACTTTTTTAATCTCTTCCCTTCTTTTTCCTTATTTTTCTTCCGTTATATCAAGGCAAATGAATTGATACTTCTTTGTTACCTGCATTTCGGATGGTATGCTGGAATATAACTCTTTTAGGTGCATCGGTACTGTACGGAAAGAATTGTGATGAAAGAGCCAAAGCGAGAATGCTGCTGTGTAGCAAAAAATGCAGTATAGATGACCTGGCTAACCAGTGGCTCACAACAGGCAAAATAGGTCCAACAGACCAACTAGTCACCAGTCCAATAATTGCTGCCACTATAACATCAGGAATGAAGTACCCTACAAGGAAAACAAGATACCTACTTATCAAATTGTTAATACATAAATGCTGCAATGCAAGAGCAATTTTATCACATAACAAGGTCTTCACATAAAGGAAATGTAATATAACAACCCCACATTTTAAGTATTTGCATCCCGTTCCATAGTTTGAGACTTCTCATAGGTTCATATACTGTATTGGGACTTGTAAGGTTGGGTTGGGACTAGAGGAGTTCGGGTGAGTTTTGGACAAGAAAACTACATTATTGTTTCTTGTTGTTGATGCAGAGCATTGCGGTAGGTAGTCTCAGGGCCACGATCGCGAAGGGTGAATCCTTTTTTATATGCGATCGTGTGCACTTGTATTGGTGTCCGCACAGGGACCTCACTGGAACGTTTTAAAAGTAGGATGCTTGAGATATCCATCATACCTAGGACACAAGACGCATACCAGCTCAAGGGGAGCCTACAAGTGACCCCGGAATGTCTAGACGATTGGCTGGTAAGTTGAATTATCTCCCATTGACTCGACTTAATATTTCTTTTCAATAAGCATTGTAAGTCAATTTCTGAACTCTCAATTTGATACATACTGGGATGTATTAGTCTGTATTCTTAGTTATATAAAATCTGCTCCAGGAAAGGTTTTCTCTTTGACAATACAGGACATTAGCACACTGTTGGCTATACGGATGCAGATTGGGCAAAGTTATCTTCAGATAGATGTTCTACCTCTGGATATTGTGTTTTAGTTGGAGGTACCTTGGTGTTTTCATAAAGGTAAAGAAGCAAAATGTGATTGCTAGGGCTACGGTGGAAGCAGAATATCAAACCATGACAGTGGCAATTTGCGAACTTACATGGATCAAGCAACTACTCAAAGAATTGAAGTTTGGAGAAACCGGTCACATGGAACTTATGTGTGATAATCAAGCACCACTCTATATTGCATCAAATTCGGTATTTTAAGAATGGAATAAACACAGAAAAATCGATTTTTTCAGTGAGAAGATACTCAATGCAAACATTGTCACAAAGTTCATCAAGTCCAATGATCAACTTGCAGATATGTTTAGCAAGTCTCTTGATAATCTCAGATCAATTACATATGTAGCAAGCTTGGTACGTACAATTTGTATCCACCTACTTGAGGGAGAGTGTTAAGAATATAGTGTTTTATAATTGTAGAATCATTAGAAATAGTTAGAGAGATTCCTATGTAATTTTGTTTTGCTTTGAGGGCATGATGAGCTTAGTTTTCTTTTCAATTTCTTTTTCGTGTCATGTATTTCTCACAAATTGTATAGACAAGGAATCAACGTCAATTCTCCCCTACCCACATCCTTTTTGAATCACTTTTTTGGTAGTTTTACAAGAAGACATACACTTGCTTCTAATTTGTAATAGCTTTTGATAATGTAGGCGCGGCTACATGAGCCTAAATACTACTCCATTCATCCCATTTTAAGTGGCACCGTTTGACTTGGCACGGTATTTAAGAAAAAAAGGAAGACTTTTGAAACTTATGGTCTAAACAAACCTTAGATACTTGCATGGTTGTATCATTTCATTAAGGGTAAAAAGAAATTTTTAAAGAAAAATTGTTTCCAATTATAGTAAGGTGACATTCTTTTTGGGATGGACTAAAAAGGAAAGGATGACACGTAAAATGAGACACGAGGGGGTAATTCTTTTGTTCGTGTTTTCATTCCTAAATTTCGGGCTTCAGCCCTTATCTCATTATTATTATTTTATTTTTTTCAAAAGGATGAAAATAGCCCTAGAGAAATGGGATATTTACATTCTCTCCCACTTCAAATAATGTTTGTCCTCGAAAGTTAAAAGAGCCATAGCCCTAACAAAAAGGGTGTGAACACTTAGGCTTAACATCCACATTGCCTTTCCATACTTACAACTACATATGCACCTCATAGGCTGATTCAAACTAATGAAGCTTGACATTCATATCAATGGGAGTATTAACAGGCCTATAATTTGTCATCCTTATTTCCTCAAGAATGTCAAGAACATACTTTGGTTTATTACTTTATTTTACATTGTCTCATATCATAATCTACTAGTTTCTTCATTATTTGTCATTATTTTCTTGGGTAGTTGGAATATTTCTATTCTATGCATTTTGTTCCCAAGTTATTTGGTAAAAATAAAAGGGCTAAAGTCTTTAGAACACTAAATGGTATTTTATCACATTAGTCAAACATTATTTATTTTTGTTCATTCTTATTGCAGCAAGATGTGAAGACACTACCCAATGTGCTAAGTTGTTCGGACTCGGATGCAGGTATATGATGTAGATGCGAATCTGAGGTCTTTTATTTTTTAGTCTGGACCTATGTACTAATCGTTTGACCTTTTACCATTTACGTCAGATTCAGCAAAATCTAAATTTTAAGATTTGGGGGTACTGATCCAATGTATGGATACGGGTGTTGGGATTCGGCGAAAAAACTTCAAAATTATAAAATAGAGCTATAAAGATGTAAAGATATGGCACCTGGGCCTAACTCAACCCCAAAAGCTAGCTCATGAGAGGAGGATTGCCCAAGTCCATATAAGGAGACCACCAGTCCATTCCCCAACAAATGTGAGACTTTTACCCACTCTAACACCCCCCTTCACGCCCAGGCCCGACTGGAGCGTGGACCAGGAGCCCAAATGGGGATGGACCTGGCTCTGAAACCATGTAAAGATATGGCACCTGAGCATAACTCAACCCGAAAAGCTAGCTCATGAGGGGAGCATTGCCCAAGTCGATATAAGGAGACCACCAGTCCATTCCCCAACCAATGTGGGACTTTACCCACTCTAACAAAAGATATTCTAAATAATGAAAGACCTTCTAAGTCGTCTTTCCCAAGACCCCAACTTCTTCTATCAAGCTTTCTAGTTCTTCCCCTCAAAAAAGAAAAAGAAAGTCACTCAAGGCCTTCCATCAACTCTCCTAATAGATAGTTGTTACTATCTTCCTGAACACAACTGCTTGAATTCTTAGTTTCTCTCCAGTTGGCTTGAAACATGAAGCAACAAATATTAATTGGAAGTAAAAGCTAAAATGGAGACAAAAGAAATACTCCCTCTGTCGTATTTTATGTGACACCATTTGACTTGGCATGGTGTTTAAGAAAAAAAGGAAGACTTCTGAAACGCGTGATCTAAATCAATCCTTAGATTTTTTTGTGGTTGTAAATCATTCCATTAAGGGTAAAATGGAAATTTTAAAGTTAAATTGCTCTTAGTTATAGTAAGGTGACATTCTTTTTAGGACAGACTAAAAAGGAAAGAGTGTCATAAAATGGAATGGAGGGAGTATTATATTGAAGGTATGTTATTGCCTTGTTCATGGAAGTTTCTCATAATGTCCTATTTCACAATTTCCTGGCACTTGTTGTAGAATCCCATGGTAAGCCCATAAGGGTCATGAGCCTTGTCAATTGCACACATTTTCAAACATCTCAGCACTTCACTCTCTTCAAAGATGCCTTGTAAGGCCTCATTTTCCTCCTCTATTATGACGGGCGATTGAGCATGTTGATAAGTAGGGCTCCATTGACCAGTTTCAGTGTCTAGTTTTTTGTAATATTCAAGGATCTCCACTTCGATTTTGTGTGAATCTTCCAGGACTTCCCCTTGTACCATAAGTTGATCTATGTTGTCATATCTTTTGTGTGCATTAGCCATCCTATGGAAAAATTGTCTTTTTGTCCCCTTCCTCTGGCCACAAGGCCTTTGATTTCTATCTCCAAAGGCTTTCTTCCCTCTTGACCACCTCCTAATACTCCAACGTGAATTCAGCCTTCTTTGGTATCTCTTCCTCGGTGAGAATTCTATCTTCCCTTTCTGCATCCATTACTGCTATCTGTTCAAGTAACACTTTCCTCTGGTTGCCTAGATTACCAGTATCACCTTTCCTCCATTCCTTTGGTTTAAATTTTAGAGCTTTGAGTTTGGAAGCCTAAACATGATCAGGTCTTCCAGTGAAGTTGAAAGATTCCCAGTATCCTTGAACTCTAGTAAATCCTGCAATTTCTGGCCACCAATATTCAAACTTGAAATAATTCTTGTTTCTCTCCCATGAGCCACCCAACAAGGCTAATGGAATGTGGTCTGAACTCAGTCTTCGAGGGGTATTTGTTTTAAATAACTTAAGTTCACATCCATTCTTCTGAAATCAGGATCCTATCAATCCAGGAAGTTCTTGATCTCATTTGAACCAGGTGCAAGTAACATCCGCCAATTGTTGATCAATTAACCTCATGTCTTCAATGAAATCAGAGAACTCTTTCATGTTAACTTTCTCAAAAAAATTGAGAACTCTTTCATGGATGTATACAATTTGCAAGAAATTGTATACATCCATGTTTCCAAAATATCTCCCTTCCACGCCCTCTCATCCCACATAAAAAGAACCCCCTCTCTTGTTCCACTTGCATCCAAAGAAGCATGCCTAATACATCACCCTCCCCAAATATGTTGTGCCACCACTAGAATATTCCCTTCTATTTTTGTTTCTAGCAGAAAAATATTATCTGCCCTCCACCCCCTTATCAAACTATACGTCAATCTTCTATTTTTTCTATTGTTTATCCCCCTCACATTCCATGAAACCAATTTGAACTTCATCATTTCGAAGAGCTTGTGCTCCTCCCCTTGTTCCTCCCCTTGTTCCTACTCCTAGAGTTTTTGAATTTTACATCAAATGAAACAAGGGTTTTCAATTCTTGTGCCCCCTTGATATTTGACTTTCTCCCTTCAACCTCCTGCTCCATTCTCCTTGCATGTCTGCAGCTATCAATCTGCAGGAGTAGTTTTGTGGTCTCCTCTTCATGTCCTTGGAAATCTACCCTAAAATTATTTATTTTTTTGAAATTAGTAATGTTGTATTCCTCAGCATTAAGAATATTCTAGTGACCTCCAAAAATTAGTACACACAGGAACTAGGAAGGCTAATTACAAAGATCCTAGCATATCTACTAGTTGCTCTACCTCCTCCATGCATTCATGTTTACACCAAAAATACAAATATGCAATATAATTCTCTTTAACTTTCTATATGGAGTTTGATTTGTTCTCATAGCATCTACCATTTCTTTCCTTCCGTATTGACCACCACAGTGGCGGAGCCACATACTTGTAGCCAGATAGAAATATTTTTTTGATATATATATATATATATATATATATATATATATGGCTCATTCGCAACTACTCCAACCTCGTTATAGATAGAGCGTACCTGCCCGCTATTGGGTCTAAGTGGGTTCTCCCGCTTTTTCGCCTTTCAGAAGGGTGGCCCACACACGGATAGGGGGAAAGGAGGGGAGACTAGCCTCATTACTTCCCACTGGGCGAGAGGTGCACCTAACCCGAACCGTGCTGGATAGTCACCCATCACACGACTCTCAAACCCAACCTGTGGTGGATCCAGGGAGACAAAGTCAAAACGCAACATCCTTTGCCCAATACTTTGGAACCCATGGTTATGAACCCGAATCCGTTAGTATGTAACATTTTCTTTTCCAAGTGAAATCCCCTAGTATATGAAAGAGTGAAAAAGTGCTTTCGTTGTTGTGGAATAAGAAGCCTTCATATCTTAATGCACTTTATATTACATGTTGACACTCTTTGGCTTCTATGCAATTTTGCTTCTTTATATTTTGACACCCCTTGATCAAAATTCTGGCTCCGTCACTAAACCACAATATGCAAGCTGGAATAATTCTCCACCACTTCTTTTGGCTTTTACTTCCTTCTCTCCTGATCCAATAACTCAACGGATCAGCAGTATGCTCTGGCATCGTCCAACTGTTACCAGTGAGCCTCAAAAACAGAGACCATAGTTGATCTATGACTCTACAGTCTAGAAAAAGATGGTTGTTGGTCTCATTTGTCTCATTTGCATAGAAAACACCTAGGTACTAGTTGTGCACCTTTCCTCAACAGTACCTCCTAAGTCAAACAAGCCCTCTTAGCTACCAACCATACAAAACATTTGATCTTGGTTGGTGCTTGGCTTGTCCATACATATTTCCATCTAGCCAACCTGAGGCCTTATTGAGTTCCCAATTCCTTCTTATAGAGCTTGTTAATTGTGAACCTTCCATCCTCAGAGTGTACCCGCAAGACTGTCTGTCCTTGCAGCAAAACCGTTAAACTCATTGATTGCATGTAACAATTGTGCCACCCTAACTATTTCTCAATCATTCAAACGTCTCCTAAAAGATATATCCCAACCATTTGCCCAACTCTCAGCTTGCGTGATATCTGGATTGCTACAGAAAGAAAATAAGTCAGGGAAAGATTACATTAATGCCTCCCGTCTTACCCAATCATCTTTCTAGAATAGGATTTTAGCTTCATTTCCTATTCTGAGTTTGATGTTTCTTGTTAGTTTGGTCCAAAAAGATCTTATTGTTTTCCCATGTTGAAACTCCATATGGCATAGAAACCTCATTGGTACACCATTGCGAGTCCCGGCCATACTTGTGATGTATAACTTCTCTCCAAAGAGCTTGTTCTTCTTCCACATATCTCCACAGCCATTTCATCAAGAGGCATTCATTGAGGATTCGAAGATTCCTAACTCCAAGACCACCTGAGAGCTTAGGTAGCTGCATTGTTTCCCCCTTAACTAGATCGTACCCTGTTATAGAATATAATAGGTGTAAATATTGTATCTTCAATAAATATAGCTAACTTAATTATAGGAGCAGATTCTTAGTTGATTTACTTTGATTAGTTTCCTCTCATAGAAGCATATGTATTTGTATAAGTATCTTGTCTAGATGAATAGAAAGAAACAAGTCATTCTCCATATAATATAAGTTACATACCCCAAAAATTTTACCCAACTTAATCAAATTTAGTTTTACCCAAGTGGAGGTTTCTTGCTCTTTCACTTGGCTTGCTTGTTGTTGGTGGATCACAACTGCCTTTGCTTCAACCTCCCAATTAACAAGTTCCTTATTAAAACATAAGCTCACTTTCTTCTCTTTCACTGCTCTGCTGCTTCTATCGCCAATTCTGCTTCTGAGAGATCATCTTACTCTCTTACTGCCAAAAGATTTCCCCGTTTGGGTCCTCTGTTGCCATTAGTATTATCAAAGGCGAAAAGTGCAACAAAGCTTTAAGGTGTTGTGAGGTCTTTAAGCGCAAAGCGCAAATAAAGTGTGGGCTTTAATGAAAAAAGGCACAAAGGGAGAAGAAACAAATATATTTGTTTAGTCCAAGACTAATTATTATATACATGAATGACAAATATATGACCAAAGAAATTAAAAAAAAATTATGATAAAATGAGATATCAATTGTTTAGTGTCAGTTCTTTAGAAGTGGCTCATTGGCAAGGAAATATTAGCCTTAGAACCTTGATGACTACACTGAAGTGCACATAAAGCGAGGCGAAGTGCTCAACACGTTTTGAGCCTCGCATCAGGGCTTAAGCGCGCCTTTGACAACATTGGTTGCCATCATCGTCATTGCCACGTAGGTGTTCCTTTTCTTTGTAACTATTGTTGCATGCCAAGATACCTGAAGATCCATGGCATCAATGAAGTTGTCGTCTCTGAGAACTTCTGGACTGCTATCTCCTTGAATTTCGTAGAAAATCACTTGTCCAGCTCTATCTGGGCTTTTAATTAATTTTTTGGGGCTCAGTTCTCTTGGGCTTGACCGAGAAGCCCAAATCCAGTCTCACATTTAAGTGAGTCATGTGCAAGTCACATGTTTCATTTACATTTTCACCTCCAGCTGTCATAGGTTTGTCACCCACGTGTTGTCTCTGACTAGAACTCCTAAATTGATGGGATTCTAGTACTGAACTGCAGATTGAACCTCTAATTATCCCCTGGGTAATGCTTTCTACTGGCTTTCATCCTTGCGACTTCTCCGACAGTTTCACAACCTAGTTCTGGCGATATTTTGAATCTAAGTTTACACTCCACCCTAAAGTGAAAGGTAATTCCGCTCCGTCCTATGATACCTCTCTCAGAATTCTCCTACTATCGTTGGCCACCAGTATTCTCACCCACTTCATGTGGTTTTTGAGCTCTGCTTCTTCCTCCGCAAACTTCTCCAATTTCTTGGAAGACTTTCTGGGACCACACGTGTATAGGAATGCCCACCACTAGAATTCTTACTTCTTCAGATGTGCCAAATTTACAGAAGTATCTGGTTGACGCGGTGAACACGCTGGAGTTGATGGACCTGCAACCCTCCACATTGCAAGAGGAGATATCATCAGAAGTGTTCATTTCTCTCAATGAAGCAATCAAACACCTCACTAATCTCAATTGGCAAGAGTGTTGTGCCACTTCTATGCAAACCATTTGTTTCTCTAATGGAGTCAGAGACGCAGATCACCGCCAGGACGACCAACGCTTCAGCTTCAGTGCTAGAAATTCGGTTTTTCGGTTAACTGAATAAAATATTCAATAACCAAAAACCAAACCAAATAACTGAATTTTTAAAATTAAAACTGAAACTGACAGAACAAACAGAAAAAACGAAGCCAATTTATTTTTAAAATAAAAGATTGGTTCGGTTGGTTTTTTCAGTTCGAACCAAAATGTGCCCAGCCCTACTGGTACCAGAGGGAAATAATTCTGGAATATGGCAATCAACAAATTTCAAGAAGGCAAAATTAACCAAGAGACTAAGACTACATATTCCAAAATAAAAAGAACTTTTATCACATGCTCTATAATTTGGTCACTACTAAGAGATGAATTTTTAAAGCTTGATAGCAGGACATGAAAAGAAGCTAGATTAATCGAGATTCAGTGCATAAATGAAGCATTTCAGCATGGATTAATAAACAATCTGCACTATTTATATTAAAGAATTTCAACTGCAATTGTTGTAACTTGATCTAAAATACCAATTTGACTGCAAGATTTTGACTCAGGTTCGGTAACTCAACCTTTCATTTCATTGTCTAATTAGTTGCAAATTTGTTAATCAATGCCACTATTATATAGATCAACCTGTGTGCCAACGTATCTACGTGGAACGTAAGGCTAGCATGCTGAAGTCATTACATATAACCTCAATGGCAATGGCAATCTTCTAGAAATGAGTACAGATTTATCAATTAATCATCAAATGTTTGGCATGTATGCTTCAACAATATCTACTCTAGAAACAAGGTCAAAAGCACGAACACAAAGAAGGGGGAGTGAGCTTGTCATGCCCATTTTTTCAATCACAAAAGCAACAAGAAATCCACCAAAATACACCACATACACTAAGGCAAGAAATGAAAGGGATCAAATGTTTGACAAGTGTACTCAGTCAATATCTACTCTAGAAACCAGGCCAGAAATACTAACCAAAAGGTGGGGGAAGTGAGCCTGTCATGCCCATTTTTTCAATCACAAAAGCAACAAGAAATCCGCCAAAATACACCGTGTACATAACACAAGGAATGAGAGGGATCACATAACATGCAGTTGACCTGACAAAAATAACTTTTGATCAGCAGAGTACGTTAAAATTAACTAATGAGCAACAGGTTTGAACGTCAGAAGCATAAACTATCAACAGTAGAACATACAGTCTTCTGGAGTTATACAAACAAAAAGTAGTTAGCAGTGAAACAGATATACCTAAATGATCCGACAACAAAGGACTTCATAGACAGGCGAAAGGAAATCCAAGCAAGAAGCATGAATGCTGACATTACAAATGTCAAGAAACCTCCACTCAGCCCAGCAGCAAGGTAAGCCTGCTTGAAGGAAGCCATTTAGCCATCTTATTTTTTGATCAAATAGGAAAACACATGCTTGGCCAAACTGAGGTGACAAAGTCAATCTACCGCAAAAGAAGAACACAAAATGCAGATTAACTTATAGAAAACAAATCACGCACCAATGTTAAAATCGAATACAACCCAAATGCTCCCCAAAATCTAGCTTCAGTAACTAGTTCCTGTATAATGTCAAAGAGAAAAAGGAAAAAGAACTTCAAACACTGGAATGATCTTCGCAATAAAAGAATATATTTTTTTACACTCCACATACCATTTTGGCAATAAAATCTAAATATAATTCAGGGAGAAGCATAACTGAATCACTCAATGCATAGTTTATATAATTATATGGAACAGAATTCAAAGATGAAAGCAGCACTTGATACTTCAAATTTTCCCACCCCCTCCCAATGGGCACTGGCAAAAAAGTCATTTTCCAGCATAAACTGACAAGATCAAGAGGTGTTACCCAACTTATACTCCCCATTTCTCCCCTCTCCCTCATTCCCATTCCTAATACTCATCACAAAATGTAACAACCCAACTCCTTATTTTGAGTATATGCATTCCAAATATGTTTCAAGCATGTTAACAAGTTCATATTATGTTTTATGACTTCTTTGGTATGATTTGAGTGAAGTTCCAGGGTCAGGATGTGTTTTGGAACATGAAAACCATGGAATGCTGGTGGCTGCGACGGCTTTTGCGACCAAGAAAACCACCATGGCAGTGTGTAATCGAATGGAAGAACTTGTAATTCACTATGTCAGAAGTGCATGTATATGTAACACCTCGAACCTTTGGACTATGATTTGGAACATTTGACGTATGAAATTAGACCTGAACTCAATGAATGTGATTGCGCTTAGAGGTAAAGGTCCAATCATAAGTGTCGGAAGTGTATTTGAATTTTCACAACGGACTTTTAGCACAAAGTTGACTTGAAAGTTTCTCTATCGATTAAGTTTTCGTATAAGATCATACGAGGGTGAGCTTCAATCGATCATATCTCCTAGAATATGAAGAGTTACATGGCCAATAACCTATCAAATTAAATTACTTCGAGTCGAGTTTCCAATGCATCCAACCTCTCATCAATCCGACTTCTAAATAAGTAGTTATGATCGTTTTACAAAAAGGTAGCAGAGCAGCTACGCTGCCGGGCTAACCTGCGTGGGTCATGTAGCCTGCCTGGACGATTCCAGAATGTGGCCAGCAATATTCCCAGATCTACGTGGGTCATGTGGGAGGCTAGGTGGGCCACATAGCTGTAACTAAAGTTTTAAAACATTATTTTGGGGTTTCTGTTTTCACTTTTAACCTTTTGGTCGACTCCACCAACCTCCAGGAGCTCTCTTCTACCCTATTAAGTCTTGGTAAGTATTCACCATGATTTTTAAACATATCTGAATTTCTACAATATAGTAACATCAAATCATCCTCATATTTACAGTGAAATCAAGAAGTCACTCCTAGGGTTCAAAATTTGAGTTTTGAGCACGATCCACCACCTATTAAAGATATTATACCTTCTTTTAGTACTGAGATGGGAGTTTTGACTTAATAAGTGGCCCGTGACACGTTTTAGAGTCCCTGCATTGAGGTCCGCGCCACGATAATTACCGAACTTTAGCAAACACAAAAATAAGAAGACCCACGTGATGGAGGGCACGCACAGACCCCCCCCCCCCCGAGGCGCTTTGGGGGTGCAATTCAGACCCCCTTTCCCGACGTGAAATTAATTTCCTATGTTTTAAAATAACAGTACTATGGTCCTTTGTTTGTACAAATTTTAGTCCCTCATAACGTAATATAATCATATTAGTACGATTATTCTCTCATTCACTCTCCCTAAAGCTTCAAGACACAGGAAGTCTCTCGAACATTCTTGATTCTTTATGGAATTCCAAGAACCCTCTATGCAAGCGTCCCTTTTTATGATAATTTCCCATTTGGTGAATTTTGTATGGGCTCTCAAGTTGGGCAGTTTCAACTGGATGAAAGAAAGATATTAGGTCCAAATTTGATTCAACCGAACTTGGATAAGGTCAAACTTATACAAGAACAACGTCGGAGTTCGGACAACTCAAAGTAGGCAAAACTTCTAAGCCACAAAAAGGAGTTGTGACTTGGAGTTCTTAGAGGGTGACCATGTTCTTTGAAGGTTTCTTACATAAGATCTTGAAGAAGATTGAAGCAACATCTCTTAAGCATTTCCAGACTAAAGTATTTTCTAGGTGTTGAGGTTGCTTAGTCTAGACCAAGTATTGTTATTTCTCAACGCAAGTATGCCTTAGACATTCTTGAGGAGACAGGAATGAAGGGATCTAAACCCATTGACACTCTTATGGATCCGAATGATAAACTCCTTCCAGGACAGGGGGAGCCACTCAGTAATCCTAAAAGGTATAGATGGCTAGTGCCTGGTTGGAAAGTTTTATCTCACAATGACTAAACCTGACATCACTTTTTTCTGTGAGTGTTGTAAGTCAGTTTATGACTTCCTCTTATGATAGTCATTGGGCTGCAGTTGTTCATATTCTGTGATATATAAAGTCAACTCCTGGTAAATGACTACTCTTCAAGGATCAAGGCCATGAGCATATCACTGGATATTCAGACGCCGATTGGGCAGGATCACCCTCTGATAGACGTTCAACTCCGGATATTGTGTTTTAGTAGGAGGTAATTTGGTGTCGTGGAAGACTAAGAAACAGAGTGTGATTGCTTGATCTAGTGCAGAATTAGAATATCGAGCAATGGTTGTAGCAACTTGTGAGCTAGTTTGGATCAAACAGTTGCTGAGAGGGCTAAAATTTGGGGAAATTGGTTAGATGGAACTTGTCTGTGATAATCAAGTGGCCCTTCATATCGCATCAAATCTTGTGTTTCATGATAGGACTAAGCACATTGAGATTGACTATCACTTTGTCGAAAGATACTCTCAGGCGATATTGTTACGAAATTTGTGAAGCCAAATGATCAGCTTGCAGATATCTTCACCAAGTCCCTCACCGGTCCTCGTATTAATTACATCTGTAACAAGCTAGGTACATATGATTTGTATGCACCAGCTTGAGCGGGAGTGTTAGAACAGGAATAAGTATTACAATCCTATTTAGAATAGGAACAAGAATTGGAATAGGAACAGGAATCCTATTTGGAAAAGGAGTTTAATGTAGTGTCTATAAATATTGTCTCAATATAATAATATAGACACACAATTTAAATAATATTCTTCTCCTTTATTTCTGACAATTATGATATATGTAGAGGTTTATTTAAATAAGTAATTTTCATATCGCGACTCTCACTGCAACCTTATTGAGGACAGCCAAGGATACCTACTCAGTACTCCCCATACTCACGCCTCTTCCTTTTCTTTTACTACATTTATTCTAGATAATAATTTGAGCTCTAGCGAACCTTGTGGTTAAGTTCACACGTTGCAGTTATCAGTGGAGAGCCAACCCCTCTATGTTTGTGGTAGCTCGGACTTTGTGGACCTAGACCTATTTCTAACTCGAGGTTACATTCGAATGAGCCTTGCATTATTTATTTTAGCATTTTAATTGAATTAATTATCCGATAGAGTTTGTTTCATTAATCACGAAATGAATGAGTTGAGACTAAAGTTGGTTAGCTCAACAAGAGGGTTTGTTGGTGCTGATCACAAATCATCGAATTTTGGGTCGTGACACAAAGTAGATTGAATAGCTAATGATTAAAAACAGCCAGTCGTTTAAACCCCAATCAAAATTCACATGACAATGTATCTAAGAAGTCTTAAAACAAGCAGATGATATCAGTTTTCTTTCTTCTACCTTTCTTCGTATTACTAATTTGCAATCTAAATACTCTCTAATGGCTCTCAAAAAGTGCAGTGGAATAACAAATAAAATATATAGAAATTGGTCTGCGGTGTAATGCGTTAATAAAGAAAACGATAGATCTTTGACCTCATACATATTCATAAGATATAAGAAAGGAAGAGATGGAACAAGAAAACAGACATGAAAGCAGACATCTTTTCCAAAACAATATTAACAATATTTGAAGTTGTACCTCTTTTGACAACTTCAGGATAGAAACATCTTGAGTCAGAGGGAAGCTTTTCCAGAGCATTCTTGGAATCAACATCCCAGCAAGTGAACTAGGTACAAACATCATGAATGCCAAATATGGTGTAGAAAACCTATTCATGAAAACAATTTACCAAAAGTTTTCTCAAAGTCAAGTCAAAACTTCTGCTTATTGGTGTCAAAGTGCAAGCAGCTTGATGAGGATGTGGCACACATATGTCCTTTATAAAGCAAAAAAACTAGTAATTTGACATCTGAGAATTTTACGACAAGCAGCTAGAAGCAACTTGAGGCATTCCACTTATGCGACATTTATCTTTATGTTACTCAAACAAGTCTCCACTTATATATTTCTTAACTAAGATTTAACAATTCAATACGAAGATCTAAAGGAGTGAAATGGGCATAAGAGAACTAATAGTCACAGCTTCCACAAAATCTTCTTTCAGGGTAGCACCAAATTTTCATTAATACAATATTATCAGGATACAAATTTTGTTAAGTATCACAATACTTTTGTCATAGAGTAGAAGACTGACAGTCAAACATAAAAAGGACAGCTTGGTGCACTAAACTCTCGCTATGTGTGGGCCCAGGAAAAACTGGATCACATTAAATCTATTGCATGCAGCCTTACCGGGCATTTTTGCGAGAGGCTGTTCCACGACTTGAAACCACAGCAGAAACTTTTACCAGACACTTAAACATAATTAAAAAATAATAGTTCTCCAAAATAAACCCAGAGAATGCAATCTCGAGAATAAACAAAAGCATACCAGCTCATTGACTGACCAGAAAACAGCAGTCTTATGACAGCAAAGGCAACTGGAAAAACAATTGCTAGCAAAATTGCAAAAGCATGACATAACATTCCTGCATAAGAGCCAATAATGAAGCAGAACAGAGAAACAAGTCTTTTAAGAGCACTCTTCCAACCAAAGAGAGAATTAAAGTATGTAGGTTACCTACCTTTAAGAAAATCATAAAAGGTTGCAAAACAACAGGTCAGTCCCCAAGTTGGAAAGCGTAGGAGAAGTGGCACAAGAAAAAAGATGACAACAGGTAAACTATGAAGAAACATAGCTTGCTTTCGTGAATAGTATACCTACAATGAGAAGGAGAACAATAGGTACTCTATAGTTAATTTACAATCTAATTCCACTTCATGTATAAAGAAGATCTTCATCTTGAGAAGTGTTGGCTTACCAAGAAACATGACAAGTAATCAAAGAAAACTGCACGTTCATTGTCAGATCTATTGACAGCAGATCTTAATCTCCTTTGATGTGCATTTTGCAGGTTAGATGAGTTGGTGAAGGCTTTGATTATTCTTAATAAATTGTCTCCACGTGCTTGGATGCTTCCAGGTCTAGGTCGGAAAAAATTCTCATGTATCAGAGCAAGTATCCAAGTAGACGTAATGGTCATAAAAATTCAATTTGGTGAACTATACCAAAACAGCAATTGTGATGCATACAATAGTCTTTCAACAGTATCAGATGCGGTATGATAAAAATAACCCCCAAGGAGGAAGATGATATCCAGGCCAGGAATATCGCCAAAATCTTGGGCAAACATTCTGTAGTCTGTATCACCAGGAATTATACCAAAGAGATCCTACAAGAACATTGGAAAAGAGAAACTTTCAACACCATATCAATGACGCATCGCTGCAAGGAACTGATAGATAGATATCAAGAAACTGATCTAAGTAGTAGACAATATCCTGTAAACCTGAGCTGCACTATTTGCCATAGGATAGAGTGCTGATTGAGCATAAACATATGAAGGCCAGGACCCAGGTCCAGATTGGCAAACCAAATCTGTAAATTCAACAATGCACAGCGGGTGAAAATTTTAACAATATCAATGGCATAGAAATGGAAAGATGAAAATTTTAACAATATCAATGGTATAGAGATGGAAAGATTTAAGAATTGAATGCTTAACTCTCCTCATAGAGTAGATAATTTGGTCAGGGAAACAAGTCATTCAGAATGTGCAGTCTCATGGATGGTGCACCAATTAGTAGAACGTCATAACTTGAACATTATTTTTGATGAAGTGAGATATCATTAAAATCATTCAGAGGATGCAGAGATTACAAAAGAGAAGAATCTGTCAGCTTAACAGATACAAAAACTAAGGAGCTGACAAATTCCTAAAAGAGAGGACCTGTCAGCTCAAGAAAAACAAAAAAACTTATAAAGCTAAGAAGCTGACAGATTTCAAAAAGAGATGTAAATTATTTAGAGGTGAAAGGTTAGCCCAGCTATATAGGTTAACTAGATAACTAGCCTTAAGAGAGCATATTTGAGTTTAAATTCCATCAAAACGTCTAATGTTTCTTTTAGACCAGATACACCAAAAAAGGCAGGCAGGTAACATGATCCTTGTTAGAATAGAAATAAGTATTCCCTACTTAGAATAGGAATAGGAATAGGAATCCTAGTTGGAAAAGGATTCCAATGTAGTGTCTATAAATAGGGTCTCAATGTAACAATTTAGATACACAATTCAATAATACTTTTCTCATATATTTCTCAACATGGTATCAGAGCATTGGTGAGAACAAACAAGTCACCGTATGTCTATGTCACTTTCCGGTGACTGTTGGGTCTGATTTTGTTATTCTTTTTACTTTCTGTGGGTGTTGTGCGAAAACCAACACCACCACGAGGCTTGGAAAGCTCCCTCGACCAAACCCCAGCCAGAACCACCGGAAAACATCACCCCACGCGCTCTCACGCGCCGATCGGAGGTGGTAGTTTCCTAAGATCTGGCTCACGCGCTGGCGCGTGAGGGCTTTTCTGATCATATTTTTTGACAGCTGGGGTCGTCCAGCCATTCCGACCAGGCCCATATTGTTTTTGGCCAGATTCGATCGCCGAAATTAGGGTTCCAGCTATTTCCAGCGACTTTTTCTTCGAGATTTGAATTTTCCGACGATCAGATCTCAATAATCAAGTTTTTTTTTTGTTGTTTCCAAGACAAATTTAGAATAATGTCTTTTGGGTGTGATGTTTTTGGTTCTAAAATATGGGGATTGGAAGTTCTAGCCCTATAATCACTTCATAACTTTTATTGGGAAGTTCAAACTATTTATCTTGGGCTTCCTCGGTTGAGTTGTGCTGCAAGGGTCAAGGTGTCCAAGATCACTTAAAGAACAAGACTTATGTGGTAGATGTAAAGGCAAAGACTAGTGAGGAAAATGCAAAAGCCAAAGCACAATGGAAGAAAGTAGATGCTCAATTATGTAGTCTCCTATGGCGTTCTATTGATTCCAAATTGATGCCCTTATTTCGCCCATTCCAGACGTGTTATACAGTTTGGGAAAAAGCTCGTGCTTTATACACTAATGACATATCTCGATTCTATGATATGATATCTCGATTGACCAACTTAAAAAAACAAGAATCCGATATGTCTACTTACTTCGGACAGGTACAGGCAGTCATGGAGGAATTCGACACGTTGATGCTAGTTACTATGAATGTGGAAAAACAACAAGAACAGAGACAAACATTGTTTCTAGTTCTTACTCTTGCTGGACTTCCTCCTGATCATGATTCTGTGCGTGATCAGATTTTAGCTAGCCCTACAGTTCCTACAATCGATGAATTATTCTCTCATCTACTTCGTCTTGCGGCACCTCCCAATCACAAAGTAGATTCATCACCCACTGTTGACTCCTCTATTCTCGCATCTCAAACCTTTGAAAAGCGTACATATCAGTCTATGGAGAATTGGTGAGGGGGAGAGCGTTTTGGGAAACCTCGATCCAAGTGTAGTCATTGTCATACGCCTGGACACACTCGTGACATATGTTATATTTTGCATGGTCCACCACCCAGTTATGATCCTATTGTTCTAAAGGAATATAATGAGTTCTTTCGAAATCGCGCAAGTAAACAGACATCTCCACCAGTAGCATATGGTGCTCAACCTAATCAACCATCCAATAATGCTCATATTGCTCAGACAGAATATGATGAGTTCCTTCAGTATCGTGCAAAGAAGCAAACGTCTCCACAAGTAGTTTCGGTTGCACAACCTGATGTGTCTGTTGCGGGTAATTCTTTTGCTTGTGTGTCGCAATCTAGTACTCTTGGAACATGGGTCATGGACTCTAGGGCTTCTGATCATATCTCTGGTAATAAATCACTTTTATCCAATATTGTTTATTCACAATCTCGTCCAGCTGTTACTTTAGCCAATGGGATCCAAACAAAACCAAAAGGGGTTGGAAAATCCAAACCCCTATCTTCTGTCACCCTAGACTTTGTTCTTTATGTCCCTAGTTCTCCTTTTAATCTAGCATTTGTTAGTCGTTTGACAAAAGCCCTACATTGTAGCATAACTTTTTTCGATGATTTTTTTCTCATGCAGGACCGCAATACGGGACAGATGATTGGAACAGGACATGAATCACAAGGCCTTTACTATCTTACCTCTTCAAATTCCTTAATAGCATGCTCCGTTACAGATTCCCCAGATCTAATTCACAAACGCATGGGACATCCGAGTCTATCCAAACTGCAAAAGATGGTGCCTAGTTTGTCTAGTTTATCCACATTAGATTGTGAGTCGTGTCAACTTGGAAAACACACTCGTGCTACGTTTTCTCATAGTACTGAGGGTCGTTCAGAGTCTATTTTTTCATTAGTTCATTCTGATATTTGGGGTCCTAGTAGAGTCAGCTCCACCTTAGGATTTCGTTATTTTGTTATTGATGATTATTCAAGATGTACTTAGGTTTCTTAATGAAAGATCGTTCTGAGTTATTTTCTATTTTCAAAAGATTCTTTGCTGAAATACAAAATTAGTTTGGTGTTTCTATTCGTACTTTTCGTAGTGATAATGCCTTAGAATACTTATCCTCCCAATTTCAGAAGTTTATGACTCACCAAGGCATTATTCACCAGACTACTTGTCCATACACCCCTCAACAAAATGGTGTAGCTAAAAGAAAAAATCGGCATCTTATTGAGACCGCTCGTACTCTTCTCCTTGAATCTAATGTTCCGCTGCATTTTTGGGGAGATGCAGTTCTTACGTCTTGTTATTTGATAAATAGAACGCCCTCTTCTTCTATTCAGAATATGTTCCACATTCCATACTGTTTCCTCAGTCACATGCTTTGTTCATAACTTAACCCCAGGAAAAGATAAATTAGCTCCTCGTGCCCTCAAATGTGTCTTTCTTGGTTACTCTCGAGTCCAAAAAGGGTATCATTGTTATTCACATGATCTTCATTGATACCTTATGTCCGATGATGTTACATTTTTTGAGTCTCAGCCTTACTATACATCTTCTGATCATCTTGATGTATCTATGGTCTTACCCATACCTCAGGTTTTACCTGTGCCAACCTTTGAGGAATCTACGGTTACTTCTACATCTCCAGTTGTAGTGCCACCACTACTAACTTATCATCGCGGTCCATGTCTAACCCTAGGCCCAGATGATTCATGTCATGCGCCGGACCTGCTCCTACTACGGACTTGCCTCCTACTAGATAATCGTTTGCACTTCAAAAAGGTATACGATCAACTCGAAATACTAACCCACATTATACCTTCTTAAGTTATCATCGTCTATCATCACCCCATTATGCCTTTGTGTCGTCTTTGTCCTCTATTTCCATTCCTAAGACTACAGGTGAAGCACTTTCTCATTCTGGATGGAGGCAGGCTATGGTTGATGAGATATCTGCTTTACATAAGAGTGGTACTTGGGAGCTTGTCTCCTTTCCTGCAGGTAAATCTACTGTTGATTGTCGTTGGGTTTATGCAGTCAAAATTGGTCCAGATGGTAAGGTGATCGACTTAAGGCTCGCCTTGTTGTCAAAGGGTATACTCAGCTATTTGGGCAAGATTATAGTGACACTTTCACTCCTGCGGCTAAAATAGCATTTGTTCGTCTTTTTCTATCTATGGCTGTCGTTCGTCATTGGCCTCTTCATCAGTTGGACATTAAGAATGTTTTTCTGCATGGTGATCTTGAGGAAGAAGTCTATATGGAGCAACCACCTGATTTTGTTGCTCAGGGGGGAATCTAGTAGCCTTGTATGTCGATTGTGTAGGTCACTCTATGGTCTGAAATAGTCTCCTCGAGCTTGGTTTGGGAAGTTCAGCACAGCAATTCAGGAGTTTGGCAGGACTCGTAGTGGAGCTGATCACTCTGTGTTTTATCGGCATTCTGCACCAAGTCGATGCATCTATTTGGTTGTTTACGTTAATGATATTGTTATCACCGGTAATGATCAAGATGGTATCACCGATTTGAAGCAACATCTCTTTAAGCACTTCCAGACTAAAGACCTTGGCAGATTGAAGTATTTTCTAGGTATTGAGGTTGCTCAGTCTAGATCAGGTATTGTTATTTCTCAACGCAAGTATGTCTTAGACATTCTTGAGGAGACAGGAATGATGGGATGTAGACCTATTGACACTCCTATGGATCCGAATGTTAAACTCCTTCCAGGACAGGGGGAGCCACTTAGTAATCCGAAAGGTATAGACGGCTTGTTGGAAAGTTGAATTATCTCACAGTGACTAAACCTGACATCTCTTTTCCTGTGAGTGTTGTAAGTCAGTTTATGACTTCCCCTTGTGATAGTCATTGGAAAGCAGTTGTTCGTATTTTGCGATATATAAAGTCAGCTCCCGGTAAAGGACTACTCTTTAAGGATCAAGGCCATGAGCATATCATTGGATATACAGACGCTGATTGGGTAGGATCACCCTCTAACATACGTTCGACATCCGAATATTGTGTTTTAGTAGGAGGTAATTTGGTGTCGTGGAAGACTAAGAAACAG